CTTCCGATATCGATCGCTCCGAGTCTCGTTTTCTCCGATCACTTTTACGACCCTCGCTTCCTTTTCTCCACCTGTTTATCGCCTTTTACTTTAACCTGGTAATTAACGAAGAACACGTACTACTCTCGTTATGGGTCGTTGATTACTTTTATTTTACAATTTTTTTTTTTTCTTTTTTTCCTGGTTTCGATGATTTCTTTTTTCCTCCGCCTGCTCGTAGGTGGTACCCTATAAATAAAGACGCGGAGCGAAATTAAAACGTCGTCGAGTTGCTCAAGTGCTCGTTTCTTTGTCCACGCTCGTTCCCACGGATTGATCCTTCAGCACCTTGAATTCGTGATTCGTCCCTTCCGCGCCGGCACAGTTCGTCCCGTCGTACTCGTCTTCCCTGTCCCCCGTGATCTTCTCTTTCAGCTTGTGAAACTTGCCGAAGATCATGTCGGGCTTGGTACAGGAACTCGCGCTGCAGTCCATTATGCTGCTCGGGCACTTGTTCAGGTCACAATTATACCCCATCGCTCTCCTCGCGCCCATGTTCTTGTACATCTTCTTTATCTTTCTCACCGACTTTTTCGTTTCTTTCTATGAATGCACAGAGAAGCACGTTATACCGAATCTATCGCCACGCGAGCATCGTTAACGTCTATTCTCACTTTTACTCGCTGCGAAAGCTGCTCCAGCATCTTCTTGCTCCTCTTTATCCTGCGCGCCATGTTGTTCCTCTTCTTTGAACTGCACACTGTGAATTTCAAACTGAACCATCGTTCAACTCGGCTCATCGACTAAATTTATGTCAATTGCGGTCCATTTATACTATCGGTAGCGGAATTTTCTTATTAATTCGAGGAATTTTTCGAATCGGTTCTTCCATTGCACCTTGTTTGATTCTTTGAACTAGGATGACGAGTCTAACTCGTCACGAGTTTTTCGTGACTTGTCGTAATTGCATTTAGTATGTTTCAATGTGCAGAAAATTCGAGAAATTTCCACAATTTTTGTCTAATTTCATCGTGCATGGAATCGTGCATCTTCGATGTATAATTTTTCATAATTGATTCACTTTTCATAGTACGAGAGGTTAATTTGATAACGTGAACAGTATAAATTCTAGATTCGGAACGACCTTTTGAATTTTTAAATAATAAACAGCGGAGTGTTCCTTTTTTAAAAAAATCAGTGAAATTGACAGGTGTCATTGTGCGTTAACACTTTGACTGCCACGCAATTTTTATATGGTACGCTCAGGGGGCCACGATAAAATTTCCATTATTCTTAAAATATAATGACGAATTATCAAACAATAAAAAATTGGGCAAAGAAAAAAAATGGTGAAAATTATCAGAGTTCTCCATTTATCTACGTCGTTCAAATTTTCAAAAAATGGTTAGAATAAAACAAATATAAATTCAAAAAATTAGTATCACTAGACACTGTTGACCATCATGGCAGTCAACGTGTTAACTCTTTGCGGCACAGGGTTTCAGATAATAAAATATACCCATGTTGCATAGAAATTTGATTGCCTCTTAAATGAAACAAAACTGGTATATTTTTACTAATAAAGGAATCACGTAATGTAAAAATATAAGAAAATAATAATTTAATCAAATTTATTCTTATAGAGTGGGACTAAAAATGTCCCACCATGCATTACGGTGTCTCAAAAAGGTGGGACACTTTTAACCCCAGCGTGCCCCAAAGAGTTAAGTCGAATAGTATAAATGGACCTTAAAAAGCAGAAAATCGCGTATCTACCTTGAAATATCGTGCTCCTTTTTGTACCCTGTACAGTGCTTGGAGCAACCGCGTCGAAAGAAAGGCGACATGAATTTCGTTATGAAATCCCCTGAATTCTTCCCACACGGTACCGTCGTGGTTTCCTCTGAATCCGATGATTCCTCGATCGACTCGGGACCACCGGAAGCCGTCGATCGGTACTCATTCATGTCGGTCAGCGTTGCCGATTCTCGCACGTTTCCCTTCATTTTCAATATGCCTTTCCTATCCGGCGTTCGGTCTCTCTCGTCCTCGGCCATCGACTCTTCGTCCATTTTCTCTCACTTATCCGCTCATTGTACCCTATTCTATCCTTAATCTCGTTTCATTCGTGATCGGTTGGTTAGGTCGATCGAGATCGGTCGTGGGACTTCGCGAAGTACCAACGTGTGCTCGGATCTTCTTCGATAGTTGACGGATTATCGCAGTGTTGTCCGAGGTTACGAGTTCATTTTCAGGAATCGTCTGTATCGGTGGAACACTCGCACTCGAAGGAACTGATCGAAGACGAAGGTGGTATCCGTATAGTCGCCCATTCGCGTACGACCAGTATAGTTTTCGTGCCCATTCTCAAGCCCTCGTCGTAGGAAGGAGCCGGACACCTTGCTATTATGATGACTCTGTCATGCTCCTTTAAATATCGTTAAATATCGAATGGTCAACGTCTCGAAGACAGTCTCGCGTTGATCGACGGTTAATAAATTCCGCAGAAATTTGTCGAATTTTTGCAGAAATTTCCACGCTCTAACCTCTTTCTTCGCGAAAACTCGCATTCTCCTCCATAGCTTCTTTAAACCTCGGAAACCTTTGAAGAGCTTGCAGCGTAAATTATCCAATGATAGCAGTGATCAGAAATTGCGGCATGTTGCGTCGAGGGAAAATTCGGAGAGACGCGAAACTAAAATTTTGTTCGTCGAATCGAAACAGAGGTTCGACTAACTCTTGTTTACAAGAGTGCCGCCATTTTGACATGCGAGCGTCGCCTTTCTCGCGGAATTTATTTCCTAACCTTCGACTTGGGACTCTTTGGCAACGATCGCCTCTGACTGGGCGACAAATTTTTCTCCATTAGATCCTTTAAACCCTTCATCGAGGGTCTCATACTCTTGTATTGGACGCCCTGAAGAGAAAACGATTTCTCGGATATATCGATAGCTGATTTTTCGATAATCGATTCGCGACATGAAATACCGGTAACAGGTCCATGGAAGTGCTGATGTCGGCCGCGATAATTGACTTTCGCGCCATATTCTCGCTGCTGAACGTCACCGATGGCCGCACTCTGCCAAGGTCTGTCGAGCTCTTAGCGAACCACTCGCTTCTGGATAATCTCGCTACATCGAAAGTCGCGGGATAAATACCTCGTTCTGTTTCGCATTCGCGTTTTTATCCGCTATTACCCTCGATCGTGGTATCCATTTCATCTGACGTTTCGTCTTCTGCCCTTTGCGAACCCTCCAAATCGGGTTCCCTTTGATCCTCGTCCTGTTTCGGTGCTCCCGAACTTCCGGCAGCCGGAGAATCGTCTGGGTGAAGTTTACGAGGTGCAGGACACTGTACCTTGTAAGAATCGTCGATTCTGAAGAAACCCACGCGTTCGTGAAAATTGGAAAATTATTAAAAATATTTTTCCGAATTATTTTCCTCTTGAAAAGCGGCTTACTCTACACCGCTGAATTCGATGCTCCGACGAGGATCGATGGTCGAATTTATATATTCTTTGGGACCATCTTCGATGTTGTCCACGTCCTGTCCTCTGTACCTTCTTTTCGAGCTAGTTGATCCAGAGTCGATGTTCGTTTTCGATCTTGACTTTGCCAGCGTCGAAGTTGGAAAATCCTGGTCGGGCTGAAATAAAAAGGTGCATAGGATACTTCTTCGTAGCTTTCATCGAGGTTTCATACTTCGCCCTTCTCCTCGAGTATCTTCAGCGTAACCATGTTTCCATTGAGGAACCCGTGCAGATGCGGCAATTTCTGTTCGCAGCAGTCAAACTCCCTCTTCTTGAACATCTTCCACCAGCAATTTTCGTCGTCCAAAATCGCTCTGAGTTTCGTCATCTCCGTGATGCAATTGTTCAATATCTCCCTGACGTTATTGGCATCCGATCCTTTGGATTCTTGCGTTTGACAATGGACGGTTCTCTTCTCGACGTCTCTCTATCGAATTTTCACGAATGAGGAATAAATTATGACGAATGTTATTTTAATTTGAAGAACGTTTGAAGCGAGTGATTGTACTTTAAATTGCTGATGAGCTGCTTTGGAGCTGCTTTCCAGGTCTCGAATGTTCTGCTTCAAGTATCGAATCCTCTCGAGCAGCGTGTGGATGTTGGAAAATTCCGGCTCTGCCTGCGACCTCGCGTACTTGCACTTTCTCAGGCTGCAACACCCTGTCTGAGGCCTGATCGTGTGATAATGATTGCCCTGTAGCTGATTACCGATCAGAGAGGAAATCGGGGAGAAAGTAGGCGCGCAGCATCTTCGTTTCGATTCCTGATAACAGAGTAACGCGATCCACGCGATATCGATCAGATTTTGTAGCCGAGCATCGTATTTAAAGCGAACGAGGCGTAGAGTATTAATTAGGTTACGTGCCATCCACGACGTCTTCCTGCTTCTTGTTCACCAAATTGTCTCATCGGCTGTGGGGATGTGGCCTGATCTCATCGTCTACGACCATGTTTTCCTCGCGTCGTTATTGCCCGGTTATTTGGTAAAACGATAACGTATACTTGTAATAATTTTCATGTTTCCGGTAATGTACGTAAATCACGCGCGAGACGACGCCGGCGTCATCTGTTTGCCGATTTATTCGTGCGCGAGAGATCGAACGATCGAGCGAGGCTCCCACCGTCGATAACATCGATCCGATTCAGCCGGTATAAGCCTCGTGGAATCGTTAGAGTCTCTCGGTCCCCGGTTTCACGGAAGAACACCTTTTCACGTGTGGCTTCGGGAACACAAAAAAAGAGAGCAGGGTACATCGATCGAAGAAACGACTTTTAAACGGCTCGTTTACCATAACACGAGCCGTTGGAGAGAGCGGCCTCCCTGAAGTCTTACGAAACGGCTCGTAGACCCGCATAATTGCATTGTGAGGAGGGCCTTAAGGGCCCCGGGCTCGCACGGCCGGTTCACAATGAGGAATCGTGACAAAAAGTCAACGAGATTGTCGTCGCGGAAAATCAGAGTGCTCGACCAGCGTATTTTTCCATTCATTTGCAAAGCAGAGCAGACCTCGCGGCCACCGATGGGGATCGGCTTTCTTGCCAGCGCGCCGCAAAATCGCCCCGTTCAGCATCGAAATTAGGTCATTCGAGTGCAAAGCAGGACAAGCCAATCATTCTTCCATGATCATTTTACCATTGCATCTTCGAGAGATGTTTACCAACCGCCTCGTTTTCTTCTTCACTTCGCCATTTTTGCTCGTGCGATGCGCAAGTAGGCCTGTCGAGTTTTAACTTTCCGGTTTCAGATTATTTTAACGACCCTGGGAATTGTCCAAATAGGCGTCGATAGTTTTATCTTTTTCTCATCCTATAGCAGGAGAAATTTCCAGTCGTAGATCTTCGTTAGATCGATTGTTCGAGTTAAACGTCCGAACGAATCCCGGAGCGACGCCCACCCCCGAAAATTGGATCATTCAATTGCAAAACAGGCCGGACCGAGTCGATTTTTCAGCGTCATCCGCATCGCGCGGCACTTTTTCCGAACCACGGATTTCGACCGCGTGAGAAGCATGAAAACCGAGTCGGTATCGGCTTCACGAATTTCCATTTGAAACGACTCTTTGGCCTGGCTGCTTCACGTTAACGTTGCTCACGAATTCGACGCGGGAATTTCGAGGTCGCCACTGAAACGCGACAGACCACTTAAAGAACGCAGTCGAATTACAAATACCTACCCCGTGAACCTCTTACCTCTGGCGAACCTACAAATTCCCCGAATATACAAACCCCTTTCACCCTCGTATTTAATTCCGATTTAATTCTAATTTCCAAATTTTTCTTTCATTTTTCCTTTAATTTGCGTCGAAATTTTTCGCGTTTCGTTCGATTCGAAAATCAGCAATTATACTTTTTATCGGTAAATTGCGCTTGTTCCCTAAAATCGTGAACGTGTCGCCAGTGGCGAGAAGGTCGACTGGAAATTCCACGCGTTCGAAAATTCAGCGAGCAAGTCGAACGATTCTCGTGCCATAAATCTCCTCGGAACGGATTGTTTGCAAACGTTGCGTGATCCGAAAGGAGGAAACGGGGATTCCAAGGGGTTGCCGAGCACGGCGCTGGATGACTCGGCCTTTAACTCCAGCTAGGTATACACGGCGGAGAGCATAGAATTCGGCGCGGTCTTAAAGCGACCGGTCGTCGTAAGACCATTTGTCGCGATACGGGAGATCGGCGTGATCTTCCGGCGCGGTTGACAGGTACGAAACAGGTAAATGCGCCGCGGGTGCCCCTTTTGCCGCGTTTTCGAGTCGAGCGACACGGGACGCGGGACAAAGCAGCGCGGGTCGATTCAAAGGTCCCCAAAGCCGGCCGCAAAGTCAAAATAAAGTAATTGTTGCCGCTTTGTCCACGTCCTCTTACACCCACCCACCGTCCTCTCCTTTTCTCTCTTTTCTTCCCTTTTTCTTACCAGTTTTCTCGAGTACGTCCCATGGAATGCGTGAAAGTCTCCTCCTGTTCGAGCCGATACGTCAAAGGATGCTACGAGTATGAGTGTTGTATTTTAAACTCGGAATCCTCCTTCATCTTCTTCTTCTTCCTCTTACTCTTCGATTGAAGATTTTTTCCCCGTGTTTGTTTCAACTTTTTGTAATTGTAAACGTGAAATTAAACGATATATCAAGGGATAGGAAGAAGCGATTTCCATGATTTTCCATTGCGAATCCACGCTGATACGTGGATCGGCTGGCGCAGGACGCATCCCCTCGAATTTAAAAGACTCGTTGGAGCAGTCGGAACGAGGCGGCAAATTTTTTCCACGTTTTCGTTGCGACGCACGAGCTACATGGCACGGTGGACGTCCGCGGATGAGCACGACTTGATCACCTTTTATGGCTTTCCCAGGACAAGATCCTCAGGATCGTCGTGAATCGAAATGGAGGACCTCCTACGGCCGCGTCCGCCGTTTCTCTCTCTCTACTTCTGTCTCCTCTCCGATCGTATATCGATCGTTGGGCGATTGTCAACGCCATTCGTGAAACGTGAAAACCTTGAGAAACGTCTGAACGTCGGTGTACCTTACGCGACTGTTGGAAACGGTCGCCATGGGTGGTCGTACCGCGAGGAACACGATGTTAAGCGAACGAATAAAAGTGTAATTCTAGGAGTACACCCATATCGTCATCCCCGCGAGTACTATAATGTATATACCTCTGCGAGAGGAATGGAAAAGTCGCTTTTGTGGAATCACGTCACTGTCAGAGGGATTTAGCGTTTCCTGTGGCAGCCTCGAGTAGTTGCCTGTCTTTCGCGAATCCCACAGAGTTGGAAATAAATAGGGAAAAATGTCAGGATTTATTTTAAAATCACCTACTCGTTACGCGGAATAATTCAAGGGGTCTTACCGAGATCAGCTTTGGCAATTTATTCGGAATTTTCTATCAGAGGTGGCGCTTTCGAGTAGCTCGAGTAGCGAGTAATGGCGACGTCCGATATCGCGATCAAAATTTCGCACATTTTCGATATTTTATGAAACGCGAGTATTTCTCTTTCACCTCAGAAGGAGTAGAACTAGAATGATGGTCGAGGACCACTATTAACCCCTTTCGCTATGGCGGGCGTCACCCTGGAGTCCCGTAGAACGAAGCGCCGTGTCAAAGATGGAAATATTACCTTCGTGTAGTCCTTAGCATTCGGGGCTAAGTCTTTTCAAGAAGAAAAAAAAGATAAATCGACCATTGCAATAGTGCTTGCAATTCTTTGCAAAGAGAGCCGAGCAGAAAAGTAGCACTCGTCTTAATTTTTGACTCAATTTTTGTGACCGGTGACTATGGTAGCTAGCGTCTCGTGACCGGTGACCATAGTCACCCTAGTAGCGAGAGGGCTAACCACTTGTGCTGGTAAGAAATTCACAGGCCTATGTGCTAGAACAGTCCAGTGTTTCTGTGACAATTGTCCGACGACGTGTATACCACGTTGTTGACGATTCTGTGACCGAAATATTACCACGTGCATAGTATGTCTTTCCAGCGCAACTGGATAATTCGTATTAATTCGTGTTAATTCGTATTAATCCACGTGACGGTCACGGGTCCGGGATTACGTTTAGAGGATTGCGTAGAATGGCGAATAGGTGGAAGTTGCAGGCAATCAGAGGAAACGTGGTGGCCGTGGCGGTTGTATGGCCGAGCAGAAGGACCGTGAAACGCATTCTGGGTGGCCGTGCCATAAAACGTGTTACGTTGTTAATATTATGCAGGGCACGCAACTATATAAAGCGTTGGCAATTGTGCGCCGGCTAGCCGGGGAAAAAAGGCCGCGGCGGCGAGGAAAAATCGCGGTGATGGCCGAAAAAGGAAGGGCGGAATGTAACGGCGTACGAGCCTCTCCTTTTCTGAGGCGTCCTCGTTGCATACGCCGACCGTTCTTACCGATTTCGCCGGCGATCGAATAATCTCGTCTACATGAAAGCCGGCCACTCTTGCCTAATTGCCGATCGCATTCATCCAGCGGCGGCTTATTTGAAGAGTTTAATAGCTTACTTTACCCGCGGATCCGCCGTACGTTTCAGCCGCGTTCCGTCGCTGAATCGTCCCATCTGTTGAATATTCCGCTGCCTCGCCAGCGCTTTTCCCTGTTAGGCAGATGCGCACTGATTTAAGATCGCCGTTCGTACGCTGCAGAAATTCGATGCGCGATTATTTAGAGGCAATCGGAGTCCGATTATCGTGGATGAACAATTGGACGGACAGATGAAGTGAAAAGGGATTCGAGCGTAATTAACCCTTTGAGCGCTGAGATGCGCGATGTTAAGCGTGTGCTGTGAACCGCCCACTTTTTACGACGAAGAGCACGCTGCGCTGACTGAAATTTCTTATTTTATTCTTATTTTATAAAACTACACAGCGTTCATAGCCCAGATCGAATGGTTGTGTGAGAACTCATATATGCGTTCATTGCGTTCAAAGGGTAAACTGTTTGAGTCCCAGAGGCTTCTAAAAGAATTCGCAGTGGAAGCGTGCTGGGCCCACAACCTGTTATAATTTTGTTAAAATAACTGGGCAGTGGATTTATATGGATACATACATGTATATATTTGTAAGGCAGATCTTATTAGATCAGTGTTTCTTACGCGATTGACTACAGCAGCTAGCATAAGCCGTTAGGTCCTAAGAGAGAATATTGTAGAACAATAACAATAGTTACGGTAATTGTACACAGATCTCGTTTGTCAATCAGCCTAATTATCCAAATATCGGTTCCTATTATACCGATATCGTATTTACAATTAGCTGTTCTAACATCGAAAAACCCCGAACAGCATGATAGCGTTTGTCTTAATCGAGTGCGAAGAAGCCCAAAAGGCGCGATAGCCTTTGTTTAATTTACGCCGCTAAAAAAGACAAAGATTAAAAACAAATTCTGGTGTAG